CTATGGCTACCTTCCATACCAGTTTTTGGAGGTTTATGTGTAGCTGGGTTGGATGATATTGTGGTAAGCAATACGGAAGGCAATGCACTTGCGTATGAAAGCTGTTGGTGAGGATTTAATTTTGAATGTATCTGTTTGAGGCAATTGTGCTGACAATACTGAGAATCAAATTTGAGTGTTAAAGATTTCCAATCACACACAGGGTTATGTAATTTTAACCATGGTAAACCAAGGATAAATGGATTACTTGTACTTGGTGTTGTAACAAAGAAGACTATAATCTCTGAGTGATGGCCAATATGTAAACAGAAAGTAAAATATTGGGTTATGAAAGCTTGTGTTGTGCTATTGGCTAAGAAAACAGTACATGGAGTGAAGAGGGGCTTGGTTTTAATCCCAAACTGCTTCACAATAGAATCGTAATCTACAAATGCCATAGCAGTGGAGCCACTATCAATTAAACTTGTTGTGCAAAATATCACTGGATTTTGGTTGCGCAGGTCAGAAAGAGAAGAGTCAAGTAAAATTGAATTTCTAGAACTTGTAGAGCATAGCTCCAAAGTAGAACTATCTTGCAAAATACGTTGGACAGATTCATCTTCATCCTGATACCAATTATGTTATTGCCAGGCATCCTTGAAGAGGTTTCAAGGGGAAGGTTCTCAGGAAAAAGTGGTAGGAGAAGGTTTTGAAAAAGGTTTTGGGAAAAGGTTTACTGAGAAGGATTCCGAAAAAACTCCTACAGCAAGAGATGGAGGGGCTGGCGTCATGACGGCATTTGTCATTTGTCATAGTCTTAGTTGAGTTCAAGTACTGTCTCGAGTTAGACTTAAGGAAGCTGGAGCTGCCACATAGTAGCTCTCCAGCTTCTCAATCTTTCATTCTTTTGATCTTTGATCTTGCAATCTAGATTTACATAATGTTATAATCTTATATTCTCACAATCCGATATTCTCAGTCTTTCGTTATTTATTACATTCTTCGTACTTCTGTTCACCCTGAGTTATCAGCCTTGATTGCCTGCTCGTCAACTCGACTTCTTGACTTCGTGTCTTTCAACTATTCTGTAGTTCTACATCCTTTGACTAACTGGCACCTCGCCAATCGAATTATATCTAAGTATCCTTTGTTAGCAACTGTAATCCTAACAGTTATTACTACCTTACCTTCGGCAGACGGCGATCCCCAGTATCCTTAGCGCACGCCGTAACAAATTATACCCCTGGCAGCAACTTATGCCAAGGGTTGATCTTTTAATTCATCGAATTGTTCAGATATTGATGGATTAACATCGGAAATCCCAGTTTTTGTGACATTTCCGGAAGTATGGTCATCATAGATTGCGCGAAGATTGGTATACGTCGGAGCCTTGAAGTACTGAGGGTTAAAATTATGGGCATATGAAGGATTAAATGGCAGGGGAAATTGATTATTGAAATACTGCATATGGGGGTAGTAACTTGCAGAAAATGGTGCAGGTTGGTGATATTGTGACTGATTTTTTACCTGCCCAGGGAAATTTCGATTGGAGGAGAAGCTTGATGGGCGCTTGGGCAAAGGAATAGGGTTAATTTTACGGTGATGATATTTTGCTGTATGCCACTTTTCCCCACAAGCAACACATAGACCATTATCCATTCGGAAATTTCGTTCTGTACCTGACAATTTGACCCGGCTTAAATCCATTGGGTCTCCAATACTGGATGGTCCCCAGTCAGATGATGATTTGTTAGCAATAGGATCATTCTGATTTATTGAGCTTTGAGGTGATTGTAACCTAAAAATATGCTCCTGTTGTTGAAGATTAAGAGTAATACAGCCTACCATATCACTCCAGCCTAAAAAGTCGTCTGGTCCAGGAATATTAACTTGATTATCAATTACATTACTAATTTTTCGATTTAGCTGTTTTCTTAGCATATCAACTTTAGTCTGGCTATCATATTTAGCCCTTACAGCATAATGGTCAAAGACCGCCTTGAAGTCTCTGTATTGACCCTTTTCTTAAAACAGCGTATCCAAGGCATTTTAGCTGTCTGGGAGATGTCAAGGAGTATGTAACGCTTATCTAGAATATGCCATAAATCCCCAATAGATGTCCATGGCCAGTTCTCAGGTTCACTTTGGTGTAAATTGATTGCCTGGACTCCATCTTTTACTGCCTCTCAGGCTTTCCCGGACAGTCGGCTTGTCACATAAGATATTCGATAAAAATATCCGGGGAAACTATCTCTATCTATCAACAAAATTTGTTGAATGTGTGCTTTCCAACTTTTGTAAGCTAACTGTCGCTTCTCTGTACTTTGCTGTAATGCAGAGAACTTATCTGGATCAGATCTGGTACGACGGGGTCTAGCATCCACGGAATCGGAGGCTTTGGTAGGCTTTAAATTCGAATTATCTTGAGCATGTTGTATATTTCTCTCATCTTTAAGTGCAGAAATTTTCTCATTTAATTCTGCAATCTTGTTGTTATCTGCAGAGCGATCCAATTTGGCTTTTGATAGTTCTGAGTTTAGAGATGCAACTTATTGTAGACTCGCAATTAACTGCTGGGAGTAAGACTGCTCCAAATTTAGAATTTGTTGGTGGGCATTTGCTAGATTTGAATTTAGCTCAGTTACTTGCTGTTGCGTCTTGGTGAGAGCTGATTCAGTTTCCGTGAGCTTAAAATTACTAGACTTTAATTGTTCTTGTAAGTCACCAAACTTTGAATTGAAGCATTGAAGTGAACTGCAGAACATTTTCTTCTCGGGGGACTCGGTAGTAGATGCAATGATTGTTAGTAAATCAGTCGGATTCGAATCTTCTGGGAAGTGATGACATTCAATGGCAGCGCTCAGATTCGGCCAACTCTGCTGGAAAGCAATGGTAATTTGAGTGACTTTAGGGCTGGTAGTCATGGTGAATTTGCACAGTATTTTTACTTTGATGAGAATGTATATATAGATAAAACAAAAAATCAAAAAATCAGATTATAGCAGGAGATGTCTTAGGGTTATATGCCGGGTTGCAGACAGGGTTCAGGAGTATGATTTTGCTTTTAATATTGGATCTAAATGCGACAGGGTACAATTTAAGATCGCACAAAGTGTCACGGTGGGTTACAGGTCAGGTTCTGGTGGTTTAATAATATAACTGTGTTGTGCAATAATAAGAGAAGATTATCTACAGGGGGGATCTATACTAATATCCTAGTGTACAGCGCTAGCTCTTAGTCCCGTGATACCCATGCTCCAATCTGACACTCAGTGATGATAAGACGTGAGTTTACTTGTGCAAGCTTGTATTGATACATGACTCAAATGTGAGTCATGCTCATTATTGGGAGCTTAAGGATCAAACAATGCCGATACGCATGACACGAGTATATGAGACAATCAATGGGCACGGCTGTGGAGCAAATCGTACGTGAATATTATCAAGTCCATTTACTTCTTAGGTAGATCATGCGTTCACTTTTAGATGTCCATTTGATCTTCAGATATTCTAAATACATTCACTCACCACCAGAATTTTCATTCCACATGCTTCTATATATGCCGGAAAACCCGTGTGGTATTTATATCACAAGCTTTCTGTAGCAGTAATAACAACTGATGGTTAACATACATCTTTATTCTTGTCTTCTAACGAAAGGAAACATGTATGTACAGCAGTTGTCCCTCTCTCTTGACGCCATTCCTATACAGGTAACTCATTAACATAGTTAGTCATCATTTCTGAGATGATACATGAAAGGTCATTAAGTCATTGGGTTATTTGACAATATATATACTATCGTACGACAATACTTATCCATCTAACCTCGTAATTATAACAGAATCAAATTCGAAAGCAGATATAAATTTATCTAAAATCGTCGACTTTTCTATGTTGTACCTATCCTTCTCACGCGAGTCCTCCATCTCGATTTGCTACGGACTACGTAGCCTCACAGATCAATCAAGAAGTTGTTTCAATCGCATACAGGGGCTTGTCTCAAAGGAGAAAACTAATTCATAATTTACAAGCTTGAGTCTTGATTTATGGGGGAATATTGCTTAAATGGGGCTGTACAGACTGAGAATGAACGGGCCACCTTGGTATGGAATGTGAGAAAAAATTGGCCACTGAAGGGCTTGCGTGCACTGGCATTTTGGAGGATATTCCAGCTCGAGATATTTGTGAGCAGCGTGAACTAGAATTCAGACAGTTATACCGATACTTTAACCGTAGGATACACCACTTTTGCATCATTGGATGGTGGAGTGTTTAAATAATCTCAGATATTACGACAATCATAGGTACGATTCAAGCTGATGCCGTAGAGATTGTTCTCTTGAAGTACACTATCTCGGAATTCATGGTAGGCGCAGGGCATCGAGACTGAAATTTGGGATTGACACATTTTTTCTGGTTCTTTTACATTTGCAATTACAGTAATATTGAGTCTTTCGGGATCAACTGCGCGTGTCGCGCCAAATTATGGGCAGATCTTGTGCCTAATACGTTAAAATTACATAAATAAAAGTAGGAGAACCAACCACGAGTCGTGCAACCCATCCCAACCACCAAGAACATAACTCGTGACCTTGGCTCACGAGCCTTTGGCAAAGTGCTCGCTTCAGAAATGAGAGGAATTTCAGGGACAGTGGATGAGGTATGATTGGGCGTGGGGACGTGGAGGGAAAACTTAGTGTCAGCTGCAACTGCACTGCTACTGAAGCCTGGCCATTCTGTGGTAATGAATTGGTACAAGCGCATAGAATCTTCCATGTCTTCGACGTGTTTACGGCACAGCCAAGACTTTTTCAAGCATCTAGAGCAATAAGAGGTAATGGAAATTTAGGAAACTCCACACATCTCAATCTAGGATTTGCCCAGATTAATTGGCAAAATTTTATAGCAAACAGATGGTTGGCCTCGAAGTATAAGAGCTGTAGTAATCGCTCAGCAGATGACGAGAATCAAGCTTCTATCATCCCGTACATTTCATCAAGTCTGACCGATCCATAATCATGCGCCTCACCAGTATCGCCGTCTTCTTGCAAAGCGCGAGCTTCTTCGTTTCAACATTCGCTGCCTTCATTACGGGCCATATATGGGAGGGACATAAAGGATTTAATTGCGACGGTCGCAAAATCTATTACAATGAATACAATCAAGCAGAAAAATCCGAATTATCCGGTCCAGTTAATTATTTGGGCTGGAAGATGATTAATGTTTACCACAGCCGATTGTCTGACCAAGAAGATAATAGAACGGTTGCCTTCCAAGGCAGTTATGATGGTGTCAATCGTTTTTTCGAGCTTATAAGATTAACGCAGAGTATGGACCCCTTTGAATTGACTTATCTCATCTTATAATCATTAATAGGACAGGATATTTACGACGGCTATTTTCTTAATTCTTACATACTTGTCACTAACGTAAATAATCAAGCGAATGCTATGATAAAGAGGTCGATATATTACAGAAACAACCATCCCACCGAGCCTAGGCCAGAAGGATTGTACACGATGTGCGAAATCACGACTTGAGCTATTCTGCAATGTACCATGCAGATCAGGGGATCAGGAATTATTTTCAAATTTACTTGCTTGACTAGAGAGAGTCTCCCTGCTGGCAACGGAAATGGAGCACGACTTTGGACAGGCTGAGTCGGAATGATGTTAATAACGTGATCCAACCTAGGTTCGCTTCTCACAACTCAAATCACTTGCATCACTCGGTTAATTATGCTGAGGTTGGGAAGTAGATCACTCAGTAGCTGCAGAGGACATAGTTAATGTAACGGATTTCCTGTACTTCATGTTTGTAGAAAAAGATAAATTCTTTATGATACTATTCACGTGCGGTGTCTGTAACTGTCCTTGCCCTCAACATGAATATCATTCTACAGTAACATCTCGCTATCATGGCCAACGCCCGTGTTTTGAATCATGCCGCGCCTACTTGTAGATAGTGAGTGCTATGGCCTGAGGCAGAAGTAGCAACCGACATATTTGGCCACAAAATATCAACTTCAGAGATTAATTATAAGATCATCTCCAAGGCTGGTACTAGGCGGGAAATAATTCTTAGCTTGAGGGAAGTGTCGGAATAATTTATCCAACTAGAGTTATTTGGAGTGGGTGGTTATTGCATTTATTTGACTAATTCTCTTGATTTATAGAATCTGTTAATCTTTATTACAGCAGATCGATTGATGTGTAGTAGCTTAATTACTATAGGAAAGTCTCTAATTATTAAAAATTCTAATGTCACGCAATGCTCGCCTAGTATACCAATCTTTACCTTCATGTGATGCTTACAACTTGGTCTGATACAACCTATTGTTAAGGTTATGAGTTAATTGGGAACATAGTTACGTTGAAATGTGTCACGATGTTTGTTCAGATGGTTTGATACTTGGTAACTTGATTGCTGGCAGGTGTCTGATACTTTACCGATAATGTACATGAGACAGAACATAGACTACTTATATACTCTAATATGACCCTTGTCATTGTCTACGCTCTCTCTCCTAACTTACTGCCAACAGCGTGCCTGGGTAAAACTCTGCAGCTCATGAGTCCATCTCTCATGAGAGGCATCCGCTGTTCCGGTGGCTGGCGCGCGCGGTCCGAGTACGCGTCGCTGCAATGCCTCAATCACTTACGTGTAATATCCCAGCTGAGCAATCCTGAATCTAGCTGTTCAGGAACGACAGCAATCCAGTCTATGGTTCGCGCCTGTGGTTTGTATACACACCACAGCAAAGCTCCAATCGTTCCCATACAATGTCTTAGCTCCGCAGTCCTTAGTCCATTACTCAGGAGCGGAAGCAGTTGTATAGTTCCGATAGTGCGCTAGGTCTGCATGTACCTCTGAGCGCTATCCTGTAATTGCCCGGCGATACCTAGCCGCTTATGGCTAGCGCACGTGGTCAGTAGACTCTTCATGTCGCTACCCCAATCTTTGCCTTGCAATGACTCAATCCGGCGCTCCCAAGTCCGAGACTCAGGAGCGGCAGCGGTTGTATCCATGGTCAACGCACGATGTGCATATGCACCTGTCCGCGCAGAGCCGGTCATTGATGAGCGAAAGTACATCACCTATTTCAACACTCCCCCTCGGAGCAAGTCGTCTCCTCAATTTTTCTATCAACATCCGAGAGTCCCATCTGCCTTTTAAACCTCTGAAAGGCTATGCGTACAAGTGGCTTCGTCATCCCATCTGCAACCATTTGTGACGTTGAGATATAATGGACTTGAAGCTTTTTCCTCTCAGCGAGGTCACAAATAAAATGGTAACAGAAGTCAATGTGCTTTGAACGCTCATGAAGATAGGAATTTTTTACCAGGGCCAGTGCACTTTGATTGTGGCTGAACATTTGGACAGTTTTCTTATTCTGACTTATCTACTCCGGGAACAACATATCCTTGAAAATTTGTGCGGCCCACTGTCCCTGTTTGGCATACATTGCCTGTGAAATATACTCAGATTCTGCGGTTGAAGTTGAGACAGAATTTTGTTTCTCAGATGCCCACGAGAAAGGCCCTCCATAAAACATTCCAACTCCCCCAGAAATACTCTTCCGATCGACCTTATCGCTTGCCCAATCTGCATCAGTATAGATGATAAAATTTTCGGCATGATTACTTTCGGGTCTGAATCGCAATTTTTGTTTTATGGTCGACTTTAAATATCGCATAAGATTCTTGAGCGCGTAACCATGATGATTGACAGGCACTTTCATGAATTGTGATAGCCTTCCTAATACAAATCCAATGTCTGGTCTCGTGAAAATCATTGCATACATTAAATTACCAATTGCCTGTGAGAACTCATTCGGATCAATTGATTCATCATTTTCTTTCCAAGGTCGCAGATTTTCGTAATCGACTACAGGAATCAATCTGGGTTTATATTTCTCCTCTATGATACCAGTCTTATCGAGGACCCCCGAGATGTACTGCTCCTGATCGAGATAAATTATCCTAGTTTTTCTTTCTCGAGCTGTTCGAACTCCAAGAATCTTCGAAATCTCCCCCAGGCTCTTGGCGTTGAATCTATATGATAGCTTTTCATAAAACTATTCAAGTGAGGTAGCATGGTAAGAAGCAGCAGTAATATCATCCACTTAAACTAATAGCCAAATTTCCATTTTTGCATTCACATATAGGCATGGATCAGCTCGACTCTGGCTAAACTTGCATTCTATTACGAACTGCTTCAGTAATTGATTCCAATCACGACTAGCTTGTTTTAGCCCATAAAAACTCTTAAGAGCTCTTAAAGCTTTGCCATTTCCGATAATGACACCTTGCAGAGCTGATAGATAAATTTCTTATTTAAGGCTTGATTCTGTAAATGCATTTTTTATATCAAAATGCCAACTGTCCAAGTTTCTTTTGGCTACTATCGCCAAAAAAATCCACAGGTTGTCCATTCGCAAAGTAGGAGCTAATGTCTCTGTGTAATCACTCCCATATTGCTGACTAAACCCTCTTGCAACGAGTCGAGCCTTAAACCTCTCTAAGCTCCCGTCTGGATGAGTTTTGATGGTGAATACCCAGCGTGTCGAAACCAATTTGGCTCCTTTAGGAGGTGTGCATTCTCTCCATGTCCCATTAGACTCTAGAGCATTTAATTCTTCTTTTATTACTGCAATCCATTCAGTGGCATAGATTGGATCATGCACTGCATCATTGTATGATTTTGGATTTGTGATACTGATAACTTCATTTGCAGAATAGGCAGAATGTGATTTGTGGCTCTGGAGGTTGGATCCAAGAATCATTGCAATCATAGCTTTTATTCTCTTGGCTTCTCGGTCATTGTCATTACCAACTTTTTCATTACTTTTTCTGAAGAAATATCTTGGCTTGAGATTGCTTTCACTTAACCAACTATTTGTGACTGGTGCAATAGTGTCATGGATGTCGGAAAGTATTTGGTCATCAAGCATTTCTGTTGTGCTGGCTCGGTTGAGTTGTTAGGAGACAGAGGAACGGAAGATGGGCTGCTGGATTAGGAAAGGGTGGAAAATACAGGCTGGTGCACAGACGCTGTTCATGTACTCTACAATCTCTTCACCTGCCGAGTTTAGTGAACTAATCTATCCATATAATATCATACTTCACATCATCCATTAGATGATATAATCAATTGTCAGGATGCGCATCTAGCATTACCTTCATAGATCACCATTGTCAGTAAGAGTTCACATTTGATACCTACTGACACCCATTTGGCCACAGTGATACGCACTCAGTGTCCATTGTGCCATCACCCAGCGTGAGCGCGCCATCTCCGCAACTCACCATTGTACATGAGCCCGTATAACTCCACCGACGGACAGCAGAGTCTGAATTGCCATATACCTCACAGCTCATAACCACAACATTTCATCCATATCTGGAGTAAATATTATTTCGTTAATATCATCCTGACTCCCATTTGTATGATTTACAACAGTATTTCCTGCATTGGAAATTGGAATTGGGTCAGAAAATAATTCTACGCCCCTCATATCCTCTGGGACCAGAGCTTGGTTCTCATCCTCAATTTCTTCAACATTTTAACTTTTGACCAGGGAACAATAGATGCTAGAATTTTCAGGCATAGAGATGACACTGGAAAAATATCTTTTGTCAATTATTTTCTCTAGGATGGCAGAGTGTTTTGCTTTCACTATGCCATTTGAAAGACAATCCTGTTTCAAACCATTTTCGGTATCCTCATCAGGGATATCTAAATTTGGTGCCTTGGCTCTTTCAATTTGATTTGACACTTGAATTTTAGCTTTCTCAATTTCAGTGACAGGTACAGTCATTGATATATTGTTATGAGCTTGGGGCTTAGGCAATATTTCTAGGCCGTTATCTTTTCTGGGCCTTCGACTCTTTCTTTCCACAAATACGTTGCTTGTACCTTGAGTGCCGCTAGGATTATCCCTAATTTGAAGCCTAACCGTACCACCCCTGGTTTTTTCATCCACATACAGTGTACTTGTACGGCGAGTATACCCTAGATCTGGTGCATACACCTTGTATTGTTTAGTTGTGCATTTGACTGGTCCCATAAACACACCCTCACGTCCGCGAAGGACCAATTTGTCGTGTATACTGTTGGCTGATAAGGTTTTTGGGTTCACATAATTGTAATATTTGCTCCCCCATGCCCGGACCTTTTTATATCAGGTTTTTTTCCTGTATATGCTTGCTCGGGGCAAGTTATCTCTCCATTAATTATAGGACCCACGGGCAGCCAATTTCTGACGTATGCATCAAATTCAACTGCTTCATCCCAGAACTCAAGAGGTAGATCTTGACCGTGTAGTATTGATCTCATTGCATTTTCAGCAATTTGGATACTTCTTTTAGCAGTTCCATTTTGGTGTGAAGATGCAATAGCTGTAAACTCTGCAGATATTCCTTCTTCTTTTTCCCACTGTGATAAGACCAATTTCAACTCTGGAGCATTATCTGAACGAGAAGCTTTTACCTTTCTTCCTGTTTCAATCTCGACTTTGGTCCTCCAGATTCTTAGTGCT